GAGAGGCCGAGCAGAGTTCGGAGGCTGATTCGTGGCAGGTGGCTATGCAGGAGGAGATGGAGTCTCTTCACAAGAACGATACATGGAAGCTTGTAGAGCTTCCAAAGGGGCGGAAGGCGATTGGGTGCAAGTGGGTGTACACGAAGAAGGAGGGCATTGAGGGCACTCCAGTGAGGTTCAAGGCTAGGTTGGTTGCGAAGGGCTATGCACAGGAGGAAGGTATTGATTACAATGAGGTTTTCTCTCCGGTGGTGAAGCATTCGTCGATTCGGATTTTGCTAGCTTTGGTGGCACAGTATGGATTGGAGTTAGATCAGTTGGATGTGAAGACAGCATTTCTTCATGGTGATCTTGATGAAGAAATATATATGACTCAGCCATTGGGATTCCGAGCTGCAGGGAAAGATAAGTTGGTTTGCAGGCTAAAGAAATCGCTATACGGTTTGAAGCAGTCTCCTCGACAGTGGTATAGGCGATTTGATGGTTTTATGCTTGGTCATTCGTACACTCGGAGCCAGTTTGATCCTTGCGTGTATTTTCGCAAGTTGAGAGGAGGTGCGTACATTTATTTGTTGCTTTATGTCGATGACATGTTGGTTGCTTCTAGTTCCAGGTCAGCTATAGATGAGTTGAAAGTTCAGCTTTCGAATGAGTTTGAGATGAAGGACTTGGGAGAGGCGAAGCGCATTTTAGGGATGGAGATCGGCAGAGACAAGAAGAAGGGCAGGATTTGTTTGACACAGGTGGCTTATTTGAAGAAGGTTCTACAGTGATTCCATGTTAGCATGGATACGAAGCCAGCTGGTGTACCGTTGGGAGCCCATTTGAAGCTTTCAGCTGACCTTTTACCGAAGTCAGTTGAAGACCGTGAGTTGATGTCGAAGACTCCATATGCGAGCGCAGTTGGGAGCTTGATGTACGCGATGGTATGTACGAGGCCGGATTTGTCTCAGGCAGTGAGCATGGTGTCGAGATACATGCACGATCCAGGAGTGGGTCATTGGGATGCCGTGAGATGGATTTTGAGGTACATTCTAGGTACGCTATATGGCGGTTACGGAGGCTGTGAAGGGGGCTATTTGGCTTCGAGGACTTTTGGAAGAACTTGGTATATCGCAGCGATCCGTCACTATTCATTGTGATAGCATGAGTGCTATATATTTGGCGAAGAATCAAGTTTTTCATGCGAGGACGAAGCACATTGACGTTCGTTATCACTTCGTTCGGGATGTTCTTGAAGATGGCGATGTGGAGATTGTGAAGGTCCATACGAAGGATAATCCGGCGGATATGCTCACAAAGGTGGTTCCAAGCAACAAGTTTGATCATTGCAGAAACTTGTTGAATATTTGTGATTGTTGAGGCCGTTGATGGCCATTTGGATGAACTACGGGCGGCTTGATCCCTTGGGAGAGGGGGTACGTAGGCAACCATTGTGGTGCAGCTGTATTTGGAGAGACGACACATTGATGCTCTTGGTTTGGTGTCGGCTCATTTTTGGCAAAATTCGCCGAGGTGGAGAATTGTGGAAAAAAATCAGAAAAATCAGAAAAACCAGAAAAACTGGCATAAGTCGACTCATGCACAAGGCTAAGTCGACTTATGGTAAGTCGACTTGCCAGTGTGCACGAGTTGACTTACGATCTGTGCTGGAATTGTGAATTTTCGCTCTGCCAAGTCGACTTATAAAACCTGATAAGTCGACTTATAAAGTGTTCTCCAGTTGCTATTTTTTTCTCTGCCAAGTCGACTTACGCACTCTGTTAAGTCGACTTACGACGGGTATTTTGCATATTCAGGTTTCCTGTTTGCAGTCTGATTGGGGTTTTGTTTTGGTATAAATAAGGAAACGATTTGTGAGGGTTTTACATCAGAGATTGAGGAATCTTTTGAGCATTGTGAGAGGGAGATATTGTGAGCAAGGTGAGATCTTTGGTTGAGGGTTAGTTTGAGAGAATTTGTGTGATTGTAACCCTTTGTACTCTCCTTGATTTAGTGAAATCTCCCCATCATCTCCCCGTGGACGTAGGCAAATTGCCGAACCACGTATATCTCTGTGTTTGGATTGATTTGGCGTTATTGGTTGGATTTGTGCAAGAGTTTGGCTTTCTTCGACTCGTGATCACAGGTTCGTTGTGAGTTCGTGCAAGGCTTCCGCAAAGGCGCGCGACATACTTTACGTACATTACCTTTCTTTGATTGGGCTCATCAATATTTATCATCTGTAGAATTAAAATGAACTCCCAACTAATCTTAGACCCTCTCAACTCCCACAAATCAATACGGACTTCAGTTATTAAATAATCATACTTTCCTTTAGTTTGGTGAGTTCATTCATCGCAGTGAAAGAAACACTCGAAGGGAATGATTGGGAGGCACCACCTTCCTTTTCGTCATAAGATAATGATATCTCTAATATTAGTTCGTAGTCCAACATATCAAAAATTATTCCACATATTCTAATCCTTATCACTGTGGATAGACATAAAGAGAGAGAAAGAGAGAGCAAGGTTAAGTATACGCTTAGAATGAATCATGATTGCCAACATACATAAATGAACAATTAGATGTTAAAAGGTTTTTTCAGTACCGTATAAAAGCTCTAACATTGTGATGAGTGTTACGGGTTATACTTTTGCACTCCATACCCTAAATTTTCTCCGAATAAAATGATATATTTATCATCTTGGGTCTCCTTCTAACTCATGAAAAGTGGAATTTGAACCTAGATTGTTTATTATCATATCAAAAAGAAAATTTGATACTCCAGCACATCGTGTTCAAAGTTTTGATGCAGTAAAAGAGATCATTGACGTAATGATTTAATAAAGAGTTTTCTCGAACAATTACGCAGAGAATCTAATTCTTGTTGCACTAGAAATTTAATTAATTGAAAAATAAAAATAATTAAAGGAAAATGAAAAATCATTACGGGATTCGGAAGCTTGCGTCTCCTTGGGCGATGGGGCCCACCACCCGTTAATGTTTATACACCGTAGGTCACTCCGTCCCTATCACGCTACACAGTCTCTATAGCCAGCCGACGGATAACCCCGTTATGCCACGTGGCAATGAACTGTCGGTGGATGTAGGACCCACGACCACAGGATACGGCTCGGTTGGGAAAATTACGAGTTAGGGACGAGTATTCTTCAAATGTTACGATTATGTATGTGGACGTGGTAATATAAGTCCATCAAAATAAATACATAAATATTAGAGATTTCAATATGTCTCCTATCGATATTAAACGAATTATCAAATAAATAAATAAACGAGAGACAGACACGTGACAGCTTAAGGTCTTGTGTTTCGTTTTGAGCCCGAAAGGATAAAACTTAAAGCGGAGAATTTACATCTAGAAATTGCGTTAAAGTTGGGTAAATTCACAAAGCCCCCACCAAAAACTTTGGCGTATTTCCCACAAAGCCCTCGTGAACTTTGTGTTCCCACAAAATCCTCAAAACTTCAAAAATTCTCAAATAAGCCCCCAAAACTTTTAACTTTTGCCAGAAAATCTCCTAAAAAGTAAGGAGGATAGGAGAAGATGAACTCCATAAAAAACGAGGAAAGAGTAGGATTTGGCATATAATAAGGTTGTTCTAATTGCAAGAGACACGTTTTGAAGGATTTTGTGGGAAAAGTTGAAATTTTCGGATGGTTATTTTGAACACTTTGAAAATTTGGGGGTTTTCTGAGGAGGACAGTTCAGAAGGGGTTTTATGGGTAACACCTAAAAGGTTGGTTTTTGCTCATAAACCCAATGCTTTATTCTCATTTACCGAAAGAGTGGTGTTAGGGGCACACCCCCTACCACACCATCAACCACACCCCCCTCTCCCATCGCTACAGTATGTGCCCCTAACATTATTTTTACCGAAAACCCAACCTAGTTCCATATGTTCTACTAAACCCAACGTACAAAGCTTGCTCATCTCTAAACCCAAAATACGAAAGACCGAGTGTATAAGTTTATAGAATAGGGTATGTAGCTATACATCCAAAGTATGTTGCAATTAATATACCACATATTATCCAGCTACATACCCTATTGTATGTAGCTATTCACCCTACTGTGTGCAGCTATACACGTGTTTTATATTTTGGGTTTGAAGTTAAATAAACTTGGTATTTTGGGCTTTTTGGAACATCTGAAACTAGGTGGATTTTTTGGTAAATAGGAGTAAATCTTTGGGCTTACAAGCATAGACCCCAGAGTTTATTGAAAGGTTAAAAAAGAAGGATTAATATACTTAGCTCATTCAATAATATGAAGGACTAAATTATTAACATGTTAAATAAGTTTTATTTTAGTCCTTGTGATTAGTTTTAGTGTTTGGAAATAACAATAATTTTGACTATTTTTTTTATAATTAGAAGGGTTAACTTTTAATCCTTCTAAATAAGAGTATTAGTAAACCTCTCATTTTGAGAGGTTAACTCATTTTAATCTCTCTAGAGGGGTTAACTTAGCCCTTCTATATTTTTTATGTTTGGCAAATTGTTGAGGGTTAACTCACTTTAACCATTGTATAGATTTTTTGTGTTTGACGGGTTAATAATGGGTTAAGTCTCTTTAACCCCTCACTTAACCCTTTGCCAAACGGTACCTCACAGTGTTGCTGTTCTTTGGGCTACTTGTATTTGTTTCTCCACCTTGGAGCATGCGATTGGTATGCTATATATTGCTAGCTTACCATTCGGATAAATTGACTTTTTTCTCATCGTTTTGGTAAACTCTTTCGAGATAAAGTGATTAACTTGCTTGATTATGTTAATACCTGAATCTGTAATCGTATAAAAGATTAAAGACGTACCAAGAAATTTCACCATGTTTACGTGTTATTCCTTAAGAAAATCAATATGCTAAAATACTGTTTTTTTCGAGGTTCACATGCGAAAGCACTTCCAACCCCACAAGTTTAATGATAATAATAAGCAAAATTTCAGTTGGTGAATGATAATAACGCAACCGGTTAATTATCCCGCCTCCGCTTCAAATGGAAGCTTCGGCCGTTGCGGAGACGATGAGTTGGTAGCGCGAAGCTTTCTTTTCTTCCTTCTCTCCGTCATTTCTTGATTTTTAAAAAAAAAAAATCGTCTTTGTCCCTCTAATTTCTCAAGATCCTACAAGCTTCTCTATAATCTCATTTTTTTAAAATATTATATATATTAGCCAGCCTTCCACCCCCCCATTTCTTCATCTCCTCCTCCTCCTCCCTAAAAAAGCTCAATCGCCGAAGTTCCATTTACATAGATGGCGACGACGATGGCGGCCTCAGCAGAGAACGAATGGGAGGTCAGGCCGGGAGGCATGCTGGTCCAGAAGCGAACCCCCGACTCCGAATCCGCCTCGCCCTTCGCCGCAGCTCCCGTCCCCACCATCCGCGTGAAAGTCAAGTACGAATCCTCATACTACGAGATCTACCTCAGCTCGCAGTCCACATTCGGTAAATAGTACACGATAACAATTAAAACCATCGTCTTAATTAAAAGCGGTTTTTTGAATTTTTGACGGCTGACTACTTCGCAGGCGAGCTGAAGAAACTGCTGGCGGAGCGGACGGGCCTGCACCCGGAGGAGCAGAAGATACTGTACAAGGCCATAAAGAAGAGGGCAGGACCGGAGTTCCTTGACCTTTCCGGGTGAGGGACAGGTCGAATGTGGTGATGGTGGCCGGACCCGGTGCTGCCGCGCTGCCGAAGCACGCCCGCTGCAAGGCGCGCCGCGCCGGCGAAGCTCGAGAGGGCCGCCACAAGGCCCGCGCAAGGATGTCGGATGCTGCAGCCGCTTGACAGGCTGGCGCTGCAGGTGCGCGTGCTTACCCGTGATAATATTGTGATTATGTTTCTAGAGATGCTCAAAGCTGTGGGTTTGCACTGACATTGGCATGCATCAATAATTCGCTTTTTGTTTCTAGCCTACAAATATATATTGTTGTTCTGTTCGCTCGATCTGTTGGTTTGAAACAAGCGAAGTTTCCTGATCTGATGATAATCGTTCTAAATCAAAGAACAAATCTAATAAAATTCATGAGCGAGCTGTTGATGGGAGGTTACAGCTAGGTAGCAATGACGATTTATGAATGTAGGTATCGAGTGCCGAGGCAATTATTTCCAAGGGGAAGAGGGTAGCTGACGAGGACTTGCTGAGTCTAACCGAGCAATTAATGACGCAAATGATCAAATTAGACGGCATCACCGCAGATGTGGACCTAAAGCTACAGAGAGGATTGCAGGTTAATTATTAATTTCCTCTTGAAACATCGAATGGATACTTTGATAAGTTGACTCGTATATTTAATTCAAAAATATGATGTTGTTATGTTATGATATTTTCCCTTGCAGGCGAGAAGAATACGGAAGTACGTCGAAAAACTCGACGTGCTTAAGATCAAAAACGCGAAGACCACGACGACGTCTAGATCTTCGCAGCGACAGGATCCGCATCTGAAAACCCAACAGCAGCAGAAATCGCAAGCGCCGCCTATCGTGGTTACGACGGAGTGGGAGATGTTTGATTCCTTGGCCTCTACGTCCACATCCAACTCTACAAGGCCAAATTGGGACTTACTTTAATTCGAGTAAATAGTCAATGTGTTATCTATAGAATTTTATTAATTAGACATCACGTTTGCTTGAGAGAGAGAGAGAGAGAGAGAGAGAGAGAGAGAGAGATGGAGTTTTCTTTTGTTATTTTTTTATGCGTGAAGATTTACCTAAATTAGACCGAGGAAGGGGGGAAACGGATATGATGACTCCATGATCTTTTCTCCAATTACTAAAAGGAGGGGCGGGGGGGGGCGGGTGTCGGAATTCCTCTATGTGACTGCGTCAAGTTGGATGATTGGGCATGCGGCAAAAATGGGATTGAAAAAGCAAATAAAGAGTTGACCCGTCCATGACAGTAGCTGGATGCCTAAATTGGTTATTCATTCAATATTATAAGCTAAGTGCACATCTTTATTGCTTTCATAAGTCAAATATGTCAAGTAAATCATCTTTTATTTATTGCTAAGAGCTTGCTAGAGGAATGCAGCGAGTCAGTGGTTTGCCGGCTCAACGGGGCGTGAGCACCTACTACATGTATGAGATATGTAAAAAAACATGGAAATATTAATATAAAAAAAGTGCATTATGGCATTGCTTGCAACATGAGCAACCTAGGTTTCTTGTGGATGGAATAATATTTGGTGGTCTCATGTAAACTGTTTCTTTTTTGGCACATGGACAACAGTTCATTCTTTTATGGGGTAGTCACCTAAAATTTAAAATTGGAATTGGTATAATTTATGGGATAAATTTTTAAGGTGTTAGTCACATAAAACTAAAACTAGAACAAAATTTTACAATGTTAGTTAAGTAGAACTCTAACAAAACTAGAATTGGAATAATGATACAAAATTATCCCACTTTTTTTATTTTTTTTATACAAAAATAAGAGTTCTAGTCTCTCAAAGTATTCCAATTTTTAGCTTGAACTAGATGGTAAAAAACTAGAACTCATATTTCTTTTGTTATTTTTTTATTTTTTATATTTCTTTTTTTTTTCTTTACTTCTTTCCTATTATGGTTATCACCATCATTAGACCATCATTATAATAATAATTGTTTATGGTTATCACCATCATTAGACCATCATTATAATAATAATTGTCAATATCTTATAGTCTAACCAAAAGCTATTTAATAGTAAAGAACATTCTTGTAAGCAATTATCAATCAATAATAGTAAGTTTAACACACATAAATGGTATTTATATCTTTAAAATACATAAATGTATATTCTTTAAAATACATAAATGTATATTTCATGATTATAAAAATTTATCCCACGTTATTTTATCAAAATATCCCACTTCATAAAATTGTTCTTATTTATCCCACTAAAATATCCCACTAGTGAAAAATTATTCCACTTTAATAATTATCCCATTTTACATGAAAATGTCCCAATTGACTAATGTATGAGATATGTAAAAAAACATGGAAATATTAATATAAAAAAAGTGCATTATGGCATTGCTTGCAACATGAGCAACCTAGGTTTCTTGTGGATGGAATAATATTTGGTGGTCTCATGTAAACTGTTTCTTTTTTTGGCACATGGACAACAGTTCATTCTTTTACAGCAATGTCTGTGACTTTGAAGTAGTTCCAGCTTGGTTTTTGCGTTTCTTTGAATGGAAGAAAGAAAAAGGGCAGCTCATGTGAATGAGGTTCATGTTGTCATAATCTCTTATTACTTGCCGTTTAGAGCAAATCGTTATCTAATTTCCTCTTGTAAGTCATCACATGCGTTGCCAATAATTTTCTTAGGGTTAATTGCGAATAAACCCCCTATAGTATCACCCACTTGCGAAAATACTTCTTATAATTCTATTTGTGCAAATAGATTTCCTATGTGATTTATTCTTCTTTTTTACATTTCAAAATTATTAAAAGGGTTTTGAGTAGAGAGATAACCCCTATAGTTGAGGACAAAATTCCAGTTACTATTTTAGTTTATTTTATTTTGATCTGAAAAAGTTCATTAAAAAGTGTATTCGTACTAGGATAAATACTACAGTGAGTCCATTCGCACAAATAGAGCTACAAGGAGTCTATTCGTAATTTTACAATACTACACAAATAGAACTACAAAGAGTCTCACTACAACAAAGTTGTAAGTTATTAAACATTTTGTCTCTACGTATCAGATTTTTGTTTGTGCCTATAAATAGAGTGCGGCATATACGAAAAGTGTGGTTACAGCATATATGAAGAGCATTTTTCTATACATATAAAAATGTGTCACAAAACTCACAATACATATATATGTCGAGCATTATGACACATACAAATGTCACAAAACTCATAACGTGTATATGTGTTCAAAGAGATGACATAGTAGTATATAGACCATTAAAACTATAAAAAGTATCATCGCTCAACAATTTAACTTCCTAAAATGTCATTCTTAACTACAGAATTTTTAAGCTTATACACTATCATAAATATTTAACTATCACTATAATTAAAATCCAAGATTCATTATTTAAGCTCATTAATAAATCTTCTCACAATACATGCTAAATTATTAACTTTTTTTAGTTATATTTAATTGTATATCTAATGTCACCAATATGCATAGTAATTTGCTACAGCTTTTATTTATGCCACTATTATTTAATCTTTTATACATGAAATGACATTTTTATATCATTAACAGTCTCTCAACTCCCTAGTATTAGCTGGCAGTAGAAAAGCATATAAATCATAACATAATAAAACGATGATAAAACTTGCGAAAAGATCGAGATGAAGGAAAAAAGTAACTTAACTTAGCGTACAACACAACTTAAAATTGATGAGAAAAAAGGGGGAAAGCTACAGTCGAACAAGAAGGAAAACTGCCCACCTAATTCTTTCACAAATAACAGAGGGAAGATAAATATCCAAGATCTTAAATTCTTTAAGCCCCCTCTTCCATAACTTTTTTTTTAACTTTTTTATTTGCCAATTCTCTTCCAGCAGCTGAATAAGGATGCAAATATTATTGGGCCTTCTGGGTCTTGGTCCTGACAGGCTTAGCTGGCTTAATGATGTTACCCAGGAGAATAAGAATGATAGGGATGATGGTGCCAACAAAATATACACTTCTGTATGAGGCCAAGGTTTCTTTCATGCTCAGTACCTTTAAATAACATAAGGCGAAAATGTTAGACAAATATAGAGGTCTCAGTAACAAATATTTGGGTGTGGGTGTGGGTGTGTGTGTGTGGGTGTGTGGGTGTGTGTGTGTGTGTGGGGCAATGACTCAAAACATTATAAGTGTCCTTGATACAACTCTAACAATAAGTCGAGATATCACACAGTTTAATTTTCAGAAAACGATGGGAATGGGATTTTTGTTGAAGTTCAAAATATGATGCAATAATCATAATATGTAGGGTCTTAATTTGATTTGGATGGAATGTAACTTTAAAGAAGTAAGCTGGCTTTTGGGAAATTATCAATATAACTAGATAAGCAGATCAGAAGAAAAAGCTTGCCTGGAAACCAATGCAGGAATAGTTCAGAACTAGCAAGGTATATGCAAAGTTCGTCAATGTAAGCATCTTTCGAACAAGCATATTCTTTGGGGAAACAGCTTGCTGCCATCTGTATAGTACTGTTTAAGCAAGAGAAAAGAGAGAAATTAGCGCGGGTAATAAAGAAAATAAACAATCTCAGACATCAGGGCATTTTATCAGCTATTCGAACATATAATTAAGCTGTTAAAAAAGAAGCCGAAAAATAAAAGCAACCCGGCATTTCAGATGGTGAAACTGCCGAGAATAAAGTACCTCGTGAACCTGCAATCATCAATGCTGATTGAACAAAGAATATGATGTATCCTGGATATAATCCCTGAACAAGAAACAGAAATTTAGATGCACTAAGCATTCACAACAATACAAGGAATCAAAATATGCAGTAAATAACAGATGCAGATATGCCACATTTACTTGGATTGTCCAATGACATATGCCTCGAGTCCTTCAGATTTGGAAAACTAGAGGACCCACCTTACCTCTTCTTTCTTTCCCAAACTCCCCAGATGCAAATGCACAAGATTCATAACATTTAGAAATAAATCTCCCATTTCATATGAAATGTTTAGAAAATTGCCCCTTTGTAACTGTTCAGAATATAAAAAAGAAAGTAGCAGTGTAATGACTAAGTTATCTCTTCTTTAGACGATCAGAGTAGGTCTCCGGATCAGTGGGCACAGGACGGCTCGTTCAGTTAAAATATAAAACAGAAGATAATGGGAGGGGCAAATTCTTAAAATGTCCTATGGTGAAAGACATGACGGGCTCAAATTCTAAATTCTAACACAGTCCATTGATTGACCAGAAGCAAGGAGCGCAAGAATGATTTGCAACTATTTCAGCATTTCCTATGAACAGGCCAAGGATCAAAGAAAAATAATCCAAGATCAACATGAACAAGAATTGTACTTGAGATGGTGAAAATAGGAAGAACGAAGATACATGCCTTCACAGGAAGGCACTTAACTTCAAAATTCCATGACAGTTAGATATTTTGCTCTAATTCTTTGATGTTATGGTGGAAAGCATATAATTTGGTCAAATAACATTGCTGCCTCGGTAAATCAGAAGAACAGAAATGATCTCCATGCCATGGGTGAAAATCTTCAACCTCACAAAGAGTTGTTTTTCTCCATCATGGGGTTACATGGCTAGAACTCAAAGGTTACCATTCGTTCTAATTCAAGGAAATACACAGAAAGGAATGTTCTTTCACATACAATGACCAGTAAAAGTAACAACTTCATCAGTCTACAACAATCAATAACAAATTATAAAATAAATTTGTACTTGAAATGTTTGATTTTAAATGCAGTTTTAACTTGGTCAACGACCAAAAAAGAAAAAGACTGAAGATACTGTGTCGGTGGAGTAACAAAACAGCAGATTTGGTACTCTACCAACACCATATCCTCAGTCTTTTTCTTTAAAAGAAAAGAAATTATAATGAACATATAAAAAAGGAGAAGAAATACTACCTGCGACCACATGGACCATAAAAATGTAAACAACATGCTTTAACAAAATTATTTTACAAATACACAAATGGAAACTTAAAGAAATATAATCGTGTTCAATTATAGGGTAACCGTATGGAAAAACGGAGGACATAGAAGAATATACTCACATGCCAAACAGCACTGACAGTTTGTGTACCCAGCAACTGGAGGAATCCAGGCTTCTTTCCTTTCTGAACAAGCCTATCATAAACATCTACAATGAAAGTTACACATTCAATATAATTAATAATTACGTGAACAGAGTTAAACAAGTAGATCGTCTAGTGCTCAGTACAAAAGGTTACAAATTTTACAAGACAGGCTAATTAGAAATGACACTAATTAGCTGCAGAGTACAGTAATGAAGAGAGTTCAGTACTTGGCAAATGACAAGCACATATGTTTTCAGATCAAAGTTTGAAAGGCTTTTGTGTTTGTGTGTGTGTGCATGTCGCTGTTTTATTGCATGTAACCACCTAAATGTACACATGCAGATAGAGGAAGAGACCAGCTACAGTTAAAGAAAAAGCAGTTTAGTGTTCTCAATGCAACTTGGAGAACAAAAAACATGTCCACATATATGTTTGTGATTGAGAAAAAAGGGACCTTGTAATGATTATAGCTATAGGAATGTAACGCTGTCATGTTGGCCTGTTGCAGCTAGTGAGCTCTCACTACAAACATCATCTAGCCATTTGACGAAGCAACAATTTTGAATTGAAAAAATGGGAGTACTTGTGCTTGACATACTTGCGCACAAAAATACCCCTACCATAAACCATACCCTAAACTGTCCAGAGATCAGCTAAAGTCATAGAATACTCAATCGCAAAATGACGAGTAAATTCATGTTCACGTGTACAATCCTGTGGTGGAAAATGGGATTGCTTGTGTGACTGCACACATGCACGATTTCAAATTGAAAATAGAAGCACTTGTGTGTATGTGCATGAGTGTGTGTGTGACAGAAAGAAAGGGAGACTAACTACAGTCATAGACAATTCAGAAAAGTTCTCATTAGCAATTTAGGGGGAAAATGATAATAGAACATGACAGGTTTTACACTCATCTCATTTTTCCAGCATAAGATAGACAATGTAAGAAATAAATGCAATTGTATTGCAAAGGTAGTAGAAACTCACAGTATCTTAGCCAAGTGCTGACTTGTATATTCCACACAAGAGGCAACTGAACAGCACTAGTTGCAAGCTCGACGCCAAGTACATCAACATTTTTTGCACGATCCCATTGGGGTTTAGGTGCAGAAGAGTTTGACCAACCAGTGAAACCGAAACCAGATATAATTATTGATGCTTCTGAGATTGACCAGATGAAATAATACTTCCACCGGGCAGTAAATCCTGACATGTATTGGTAGAAAAGCTTATGCCAGAAACCCCACTCATAATACATGGGTTCACTGAACCGGGAAAGTGGGAATTGCGGTACCAAATACAAGTATAAACCCATGCAAACAGCTGCTTGAACTAAAGCACGCAAAGTCGGGCCAAAAGGTGATGGTGCTGGTTTGTCCTTCGAAGGTGCCCAAACCTGGATAAGTCAGGGAAGAAAAGGCAAAGGGTAAAGTGAGTCTCCATGAACAAAACAATAGAAGAAATGAACCTCAATCTTTACACGAAAAATAAATGTTGCTATTACCCCTTTCCTTTCAGTATATTCAAGATAATCCTTAGCTTCAAATACAGGGCCTGCGAAGTGACTGCCACAACATAAGCAGTAACCTATATATTCAACTATAGATGGGCAGCGTATTAACCGATATTTCTTTTGAGCCTCACGTAGATCTTCTTCTTTCAAAATCCCATCGCTGTAATTTATTGCGCAGGAAATGACTTTTAACACCAGAACCATCAGTGCTCCTAAATTTGAGGATAAAATGAAAATTAATGCCTCATTGGACAAAGATTAAATGATTAGGTGTTTTCCTTCAACTTAGAGAGATCAAAGGTTCCTAAATGATAACGTGGAATTTTGGGGAGGTTAAAATGCTTTGAAATATGTACTCGTAAGGAAAATAGCAAACTACTGAATGTATAGAGTATAGCAATGCATACAATAAGTTTGACGTGTTCTGTTTAATGAAGAACAGTGACTATCATATGTCATGAACTGAAAAACCCAATTAAGATACGTAACTTACATGAGTCTGATATGAGAACAAATTCAAAGAATCTTCTTTAAGGACTAAAACAGTTTTTGTACTAGTCAGAAAACTGGTGGGTCATCTGGTGGATGATCTTTACTGTTCATCATGATATATATGATCTAAAATGGTTATGCATGAAAAATTATGTTGTTTTGAGATGTAACAATGTTGTGCGCAGCGGAAATTTCGGCAACACCTCTGGTGCTCGACAAGAGAGTAGATCTCAACTAAAACCCTGTTTCACAAAGAAAACAAGAACCGAAAGTAAAATATCTCAACAAAGTGAGATATCAGCTCTTCCTCTCATCAGTTCTAGGACTGACCTGTCGAGGAAACCTAAACTTTCTATTACAAATCACAGCACAAACAATGAATTTTAACGTGGTTCGGCAAAGTGCCTATGTTCACGGGTCAATGAGGGGGAAGATCTACTGTTAGAGAGGAAAAGAATACAAATAGGGTTTACAATCACACAGCTTAAACCCTCAAATAATCTCTCAATTCCTCCCTCAAAATCTCTCTCAAAACAGTCAAAAGAGCCTCTGTTTTTCCTGTTGCACGCAGCCCAAGAAAATTTTGTTCGTACTATTAAATTTCTCCACATCTATTTTTGTAGAGTGAATATTCAAACTTTGAATGATCTTCACACCAGAAGCACCACCCTCAACACCTTCTTTCCCGATCATATTCCTCAACACACCAACAACCAATACGGAACAAACTGAAGAATAGATCCAAACTTGAGAAAGATTGAGCCTTTACCAAAAAAATACCACCTTTAACTCCAATTGAAACCTAATCGAGCTTCCAAAATGATCTACTCCTCCAAATTATCCAAGCGGAGCCCGAGCTCTGATACTACTTATTGTGAGTGGGGATGGGGGCTACAATCTTTGCGCGTGAAGAGATAGGCCAATAAAACACGTGGGAGCCACCACGTTCTCAAGCGTGAAGATATAAGATTCACGAGCCCACGAACCGAATTCCCGAAGATATATATATAGCTTGATATCACAATCTAGGGTTGCGTGCAAGAGCAAAGGAAAATTGCAAAGGAGAAATTTTCTTAGGCTGCGTGCAACAGGGAAAACAGAGGCTATTTTGGCTGTTTTGAGAGAGATTTTGAGAGAGGAATTGAGAGATTGTGGGTTTAAGTTGTGTGATTGTAAACTCTATTTGTATTCTTTTTCTCTCTAATAGTAGATCTCCCCCCCTCCTTGCCCCGTGAACATAGACAATTTGCCGAACCACGTTAAAATTGATTATTCGTGTTGTGATGTGTAATAGAGAGTTTAGGTTCTCTCAACAGGTCAGTCCTAGAACTGATGAGAGAAATAGCCGATATCCCACTTTGTTGGTATATTTTGCTTTTGGTTCTTATTTCCTTTATGAAACATGGATTTAATTGAGATATACTCTCTTGTCGAGCATCAGAGGTGCTGCCGAAATTTTCGCTGCGCACAACAAACAAGTGGTACTAAATGCACAAACTTTCAACAGTAGAAAAAAGGCCATTAGGAATTTTTGATCAGACTAAAATACTCACACAATATAGACACCAAAATTTGAATAGGGGTTTCAAGACACTCAATACAAAGCACCAAAATCTATAATACTCACCCAATACAGTACTCATATATCTTTTGTACTTGAAGTGAACACAAGCACAACTATCACTAAACAAGCTTTACAAAGCGCAAACATCTATGGGTGTTTGTTGCTAATCTTTTAATGTTACTAAATGAGTGTATATATGTCAGCATGAGTTGTGTTCATGTGATTGTCGCATCAAGACTAAAGACAAGTCAAGGCTAATATGTTTTTGAAAGACAACCGCATGAAATGATGATAAGCAGCTAGATAATTAGAGCCTCAAATGCGAGAGAGACAGTACCTGTAGCATCAATTCCACCTTCTTTCCATGCATCACCACTCATGTAGTACACATGGCTGCAAAAATAAAGACACATGTATTTGGGAGAATTAGAAATAATTTAAGAAATTATGTCTGGATAGCGATATGGGCTGAAATGTTAACTGCTAAGAACTTAAAATAGTGAGAACCAAGATAGGTGATCAATTATGTTGCATTGACACTAAGAGCAGAAATGGACACCAGAATGCGGATATGGAAAATTTTAAGAAGAATTGCACATTGAAAATTTCTACCCATAGATGTCAGGAAGACAGGACACTAGCGAATCGCGACCTGGGCTCAATAGCTCCGGATTCGCGGTGGAACATGACCCAATTCACCAACACCAGCAACCCGATATAGAACTCAAACCAATCAAAATTTCGACAAATTAACTCTTTTTCAAAAGAATAGACAAAAAAAAAATGATAGATTAAGAAAATAAATACGCATGCCTTAAGCGCAACATAATTCTCAAGGTTCTTTTTACCATTACTTATATCAACTAGCATATTTCTGAAATTTGACTCTTCAAAATTTCTGATTCCCACATGTAAGAACCGAACCTGAAACGTACCACGTTCCCAAGCATAGCATATAAGCCTACCCGTTCCTGTCCCGTGAACCATGTTCAATGCAACTATGTTTCTCCTTATCAAGTGAAAGGGGTGAAATTTCTCATTTTCACACAAGACTTTAGTTGGCGTTTGGTAGTTAGGCGTATCATTAAGCTTTTATGTGTGGCATCATGCTTCAAGAACTTTCTTAAAAGCCTGCCAAATTAAACATGTAATATCAAAATTCATCAATTATGGCATGTCTTTAAAAACTAGACTTTTTTCGCATGGAATCAGGACATACTCATAGGTGATTTATTATTTAAAAAAAATATTCCACACCTGACCAGCTTAATTGGAAATGATGTCACTGAGGAACTAAACACAAATAGTGATACATGTAAACTATGCAAAGCATCCACATCCTGACATGAAATCAGAAACGATTTTCAAACCACTCAAATGCAATTAATCTTTAGTTGCTTGTTATAGGTGACAAACAGTCCTAATCTCCAAATAAACTCACAAAAATCATAGAACTTGGTTTAAAAAAATAACTCCAGCCAGCCATTTTCTCCAAAGAAACCTCATGTTCTACTTATACTCGTCTCCTAATCTCTAAAATCATGCAGATCAGTGAAAAGATAGCTAGAACTTTGAAACCTTAAACGATCCTTACGAAAAAACTTCCAGAATTAGCAATGCTACTCAAACTAAATTAAAAAACATAGCTCCAGATCATTCCTCTCCTCGAAAACAGACCTAATATCCTACTCCTAGTCAACGCCAAACACAAAGCACCATGAAATAGCTAAAATTTTCAAATTTACTGAAACTCCTCGCATAAAAGCTCCAGATTTAGTTCCAAAAAAGCGCATTCCACTCAATTCAATACCTTAACTGAGATCACTCATCTCCTCTAAAACAATCCTAATCACCTCCTGATTCCCCATAAAAATCCTAAATTTTAGCAAAAAAAATAAAAATAAAAAAAATCGCAAATCAAGAACAGCAGAAGTTCAAATACCATCCGATGAGATAACCGAATCCAGCGAAGAAGGTGAAGATCCCGGCGTACTTCCTGCACAAGATCATCGACGCGTATCCAAGCGCCATCGGGATCAAGAAGTGGAAGTTCGACGAGAGGCCAAACGAGAGGTAAGATAGAACCGCGCCTGAGATCGCAGCGTAGAGATGCTTCGTCAGGGCACCGGGGACGAATCGCCACACGGAGCTCACAGGGATCGTGGCGACGAAGCAGAGGAGGAACCGGAGCACGGGGATCGAGACCCCGATCGCCGACGCCATGGACTCCATCTCGAGCTCCATTGGCGAAAGTCGAGAGCTTGACTGGGATTCTTCTTTATTTGTGGAATAGAATTTGGAGAGCCTCCCTATCCCATCCCAGATTTTATCAGGGAGAGAGATGTGGGAATAAGAAAAAGGGATTTTGCATAAAGCACCCTAGACATATTTTTATTTATTTTATCTGAAATTTATTTCTAGATAAGAAATCTGGTCGGGTCGAGCGTGCCCACGCATCAACTTAATCACGTAAAAAATGCAATTTTTCTTGTTATTAGTATTATGCCTCCCAATTTTCACTAGCGAAATTTTAGGAGTACACAAGTTTAAGAAGTATTTTTTTTCAATATAATATCATACATAATTAAAATTTAGAAACAACTGTAATGAGATAAAAAGAATAATTTAATTAGGTTTATGTCATCCATTTGAAGTTTAATCTAGTTTAAATGTATAAAAATATAGTTCTCCACTACAAGTTTCTTCTTGATGATCAAGAGAATTAAAATCATATATGACAATACTGGTCAGCAGCTCGGTACATGAATCTTCCATTATTTAAGGGTTTAAAAAATATATATTTTTTAAATGTGTTTTATGCAGTCTTATCTTGCATTTTAGATGATTTGAGCTCGATTGGTTATGAGCTCTAATTTGAATTTGTAACGGTATTACAAGATACATAACAAGTTGAATACTGCAAACTAGCAAATGGCAGATGGTCTTACTGCAAGATTCCATCGTAGTAGGCAACAAACGCCTCAAGTCGGGTCCAGAGCTCAGGCGTCGGGGGTCACGCGAGAGGCCGCAACGTGGTGCGAAACGCACGTGACACTCGGCGCCTCTCTCCCCCCCCTCGAACATATCGCCGCGTGCGCATCACGTGCGATGTCTATCGTCATGGACCGTTACAAATTTGAAAGCCCGCGATCCAGCGACGACGGAACTATGAGTTTTTGCGGGCCCTGGGCGTTGTAATGGGCCCACATTAGTTTGGTGCAGTTGGAGGTCTGCCTCGTGGGCCCCACATATTTTATGGTTGGGTTTGGTACACCAACGATGGTGGCTATGATTAGAGTCCAAAGCATACGGAAGGAAATAATACATTTTGGACTGAAGCCTGCAAAACGAGTCTAGAGATGGGCCCATATAGCTGTATGTTATGTCTAAAGTAGTTTAAAAATTAATAGTTTTACCAGGGCATAACTAAAGAGACAATATGAAGCCAGGGATAGAACGCATACGATATCAATTTTTAATCTTTACTCCTTTTATGATAGCAAATTAGGCTAAATAACACTTATATATCCTATATATCCTACTGTTTCATCTACTTTTCACTTGTATACTCTTATTTGTATTTGGTAGCAAGAAAACACCCTAAAGTTTTTTAAATGTACACTTATATACTCTCATTTATTTTTTTAGCACTTGTATACCGTAAAGTTATTAAAACTTGCACTTTAATACTACTCAAAAAAATTTAAATCTTACACTTAAATACCCTAAATTTTTAAAACTTGTTCTTAAATTTCCTTAAGTTTGCATAATTAAGGGTATTTATATGCAAGTTTTAAGAATTTTAAAGTATTTAAGTGCTAGTTGTAAAAAACTTTAGGGTATTTAAGTGCTGCCAAAAAAAGTAAGGGTACATAAGTGCAAGTTTAAAAAACTTTAGAGTATATAAGTGTTATTTAGCCAGCAAATTATGATAAAGTGGTCTGAATCGTTCATCTTTTTAGTTGTGTTGCCGGCAACAGTTGAATTCTACAACCACTTTTGTTGATGTTCGATATCAAACAACCAATTAATCCAGAAGAGGATTGTTACGGGGTGGTGAAGGAAGATGGAGGGCTCGTTCCCTTCTCCAGCTTTATGCCTAGTTCTTGAATGAGGGTCTGATGTCCGCACTGCACAGACATAAATAACTTGTGAGAGGGCGAGGGACCGGTTCCCCTGTGATTGCTCCGACGATCAAGTCAGCTGATAAACATAAGCTTGAGTGGAGTTTAGAACTATGCGTTCTTATGCTATGTGCATTAGAGATTATCATGCCTTAAATAGGGTCGTCCATGATAAGAAGGTCGACCGACACCGACTTTCGTGTCGACTTAGGAGTGTCGGTCTGTCTGACTGGGCGAAACGTCACCTTATCTCAGCTTAATAACCGTCTTTTGAGTCAGTATACAGATGCTGACTTGTCTGGCATGTCAGGATCTCTTGTATCAGCTAGTATCGCCTCTTGTGTTGATACCAGGGTGCTAGCTTGACGAGTCGGTGGGCCGAGACCTCTGTAATTGTGCATTGGGCTTATCCCTTAATAAAGAGCCGAGTTCTTGATATTCGATTTAGGAGTCGTTGTGCCTAGAACTCTTGAGAGTTGACTAGGTCTTTTTTCCCCTAAGACTAAGAGATGACTGTGGGAGTCAGCCAAAGGGTTGAGCTTGTTTTACTTAGGACTCTTATCGTATCATTTCGCAAATACTGTATCTTGGGTGATTGAACACCATAATAACCTTTAAGGCAGTTTACTCAATGTATGATTTTTCATTGACAACCGATTTAGGCTATGTTTGGTTCGAGGTAAATTGAGAGAGAAAAAAAGGACAACTAGGTTCCAATGTTTGGTTAGAAGGAAATATAAAAGGAAACTGAAAGCCATATTACTTGAAGAAAATGTGCTTCTAAAATTTTCATTTCATTTTTTCTTTCCCGGAACTTAAGGAAATGGACGGAATATTTTGCCGGGGCCAAGTATAGCCCCTTCACGAGTCCAGGATGCGGTGGATGTAAGTCATTATCATGTCGGCTCCATTGGTATCATTAAAATGTGTCACTAGACACGTGCTATTTGTAGTTACACATAAAGAGAGATGTTTCTACACTAGACCCTTTAAACATTCTTATATCAAAATTAGACCTCAAATCATTAAATTTGTTATAAAGTACCCTAACTTTTAAGCTATTTCAAAATTAGTCCCTAAAATCATTGAAGTTTCCATTAGGTCTCAATTCCCATAAGTTGTATAAAAAGATTTCCTCTAATTGTTATTGTTGCTGTTGCTGAACTAATTTGAGACAAGTTATGATAATTGGTGAACTTAATAGAACTTAAATGATTTGAGGTCTAAATTTTGAAATAACTTAAGGGGACTTAGTAGTAGTCTCAATAATTTTAGGGACTCATTTTAGAATCTTAGTAGTTATTATTGATTTTTTTTTGTTTAAACTGACTTTTTATTATTTGTATTGATAGAAAATTGTTAGCAATCCGCTTGGTTTATTTTTTTTCTCGGTGTGATTTCTAGCTGTTTAAATTTTTCAATGTGATATGCTTGTACTTATTTTCACTTATATGGATTAAATATACTATTCTCAACGATTTAAATTATAGCAACATATATAACTTTCTTCTATATAGTTTTTTTTGTAGAAGGCATTCAGCAAGACTCTTTTTCTTCCTATACAAAAGAAACAAAAATAAAACAAACAAACAAATAAATAAAAACAAAAACAAAAACAAAAACGCTTGTATCTTTAAAAAAAAGCCTGTTTAGGATCCACATATTGTCCTCATTAAGTCATTATAAATAATTTTAAATTGAAAATATTTATAAAATTAATAAATTGATGGGCACTATTGTATAATATAAACCAATTGTATTATCTATATCATTTTTTTGAACAATCAAACATAAACTGGTTGTTCATTATTTTCCTTCAAATTCTTCTTCTAATTTTCAGAACAATCAAACATAAACTGGTTGTTCATTATTTTCCTTCAAATTCTTCTTCTAATTTTCATCCTAACCAAACATGAAAAAGTAATTGTTCATTATTTTCCTTCAAATTCTTCTTCTAATTTTCATCCTAACCAAACATGAAAAAGTAATCCATTGCTTTTTCTTTTTCTTTCCCTCTTTTTTCCTTTTCCTTTTCCTTTTCCTTTTCTTTTCTTTCATTTCCCCTCAATCCAAACACAGCCTTAAGGTATTTTGATGATCTTGAAAGGAAATGGATCGCTTAAATTTCATTGTATAATATGTATTTTTTAATTTTACAATTTTTTTATATAGAGTTTCCTTTTTTTTTAAAAGGGAAAAAATATTCTTTCAAAAAAATATATGGGACAAAGTCCCAGACTGCTATATTTTTAGAGTAAATTTAAGCTACATGTACAGCCCGATGGGCTACATACAATTCAAACAAAAAAAAATGCTCACGTTGGGCTAGAATATCTCGAGCAATCCAACCCAAATTGTACCTACTCAACTGAGGAGGATATCCCTTGATCGACAAATCCGCCCAAAGCGTCAAAAATAAAAAAGGGGGAAAAAAATCCAAGGATAATGAAAAGGTTGCCCAAAAGAACATACATTTTGTAAAACAAATTAATTTGTCTCTAAAATTGATTCTGCAAAGGCTCATGACAAACTTGACTGAGAGCTACAAGACTTGGAAATAGGTGGTTAAAATGGATCGAATCATATTTGTATGGTGACTTAAACTCCCATTAATATTCATAATGGAAAGTTTGGAAAGTGAATTTTACCAAAGAGACGAGTAAGACAGGGAGATCCCCTATCTCTTCTTTTATTTATTCTAGCCTATGTTGCTTCTATAAATATTCTGAAACTTGCATAATGTGCTAGTCTTTATCCCTGGGCTTAGTCCGGATGCATTAAACCCCAAGATTCCTTGTCTTCAGTATGCTGATGATATACTGATATTTTTTTCATGCTAATTATCAACAATATTCTTTTTAAGGAATCTTTTTTTCTGTTTTGTTTTTGAGGAAGCTAATCAACAACATTTGATTTTGTTAAAATTGCTTTTGCATGCTTATGAAATGGTGTCTGGTCTATAGATTAACTGTTTAAAAAGTGTCTTAGTCACTTTGGATGGATAATCTACTTTCCCATGCAGCAGCAATTAGCCGCTATGATGAATTGCATGATTGGTAATTTTCCTATATATAGATGGTAGAGTGATGCTTTGGAATTCAATTCTTAGTGCAACAACATTTGTTTTGGACGTCCTTTTTTCCCCCTTGTGTGGGTGTATGAAAGGATTGATAAGTGTTGATAATA